TCATCCTGCAAAACTGAAACTTTACACCCAGTGAACAAACTCCCCTTCTTTCCTCCTCCCTACCCCCCAACCATGAAAACCACCACTCAGTCTGCTTTCTGTTTCTGAGTCTGACTTCTTTAGGACCTCATGTGGGTGGAATCATGCAGTGTGTGTCTTTTTTGTGACTGGCTTATTTCATTTAATATAATGTCTTCAAGGTTCATATATGTTGGAGCATGTGACAAATTTCTTTTGTAAAGGCTGAGCAATAGTTTATTGTAGGTATATACTATTTTCACTACTTTTAAAAAAATCTTTCTTGCTCTGTGGTTTTATTTTGTTCTGTGATGTTTTTCCTCATATAAAACCACGAAGTTTGCTTTATCACATACGTTGAATTTACCACTCAGAAACCTTTCTAATTGAATAAGTGGAGGATTTATAGACATGAACATTTAACAGATATTTCCCCAGTTTTCCAAATGATTCATTAGAAATAGAGCAAGTTTATAAAATAATTAATAATCTTTCATAATGCAACCTATCTTAAAAGGCATTTAAGATCATCTTTTAAGCAATATGAGAAGAAAAAATAGAACCCTTTCAATTGAGAGGTATAGAGTTTTTTATTTAAGAAAATAAGGTTTTCAAGTGTTTGTGATGTTAAGCCACTTTATGTTCTTAATGGCTTTTTATATAACTCCTTTGATCAGACTAGGTTTGCAGAGGGGAACTATTCCCCTCTAGAATTCCTACACAGAATATAAATCAACATAAACAAAAAATATTCCAAAACAGCAATAAAACAATACACGTTTTAGCATTATGAAAGGATTATCAAGCGTTGATTTTACCGGGTGGATAATCCCTTCACCTAATTGAAATAAGAAAGAAACAAAGGTGGGTGTGGATCATTTTGTGGCCAGAGCCTGGGAGCTCGGACCTTGGCCAAAACAACCGAATGGCTCTGCCAATTTCTGCAGGTGAGACCCAGGGAAGTCTAGTCATCTCTTGCTGTCAAGGTGAAACTCAAAGCTGATTGCCTTTCAAAAAATGGCACTCTGGAATGATGATCAGCCGGGATCAATAAGCATACTAAAAGAAATACACACATATCAGAATGGATTTATTTATCAGCCCTGTAAGAAAATATAGTCACCTCTATTTACATACCAACGTTTCCCTTTTCCATCCTGGAGGCCCCCGTCTAAGCATTCACTGGTTTTAACACAGTTTATATTTACGAAAGTCCCGCCGGCTGCTGTGTGTAGGGCAGGCACAGCATGTGCCCCTGATCTCCTAGGGAAAGTGTTGATCCAACTATGGAGCTGGGCTGAGGAGGAGGAGGGGGAAGGGAAAGCTGGGGGAGGGGAGTGGAGGCACATTCAATGGGGAAGGAGACAAAGGAGAAAGGCGAGAGGAAAGGGTGTTTGAAAAAATACGGAAAAGTAAGGGATGGGGGATAGAAGGAGAGGATGAGGGGACAGTGAGCATGATACAGTGAGCATGATACAGAGAGATCAAGCAAGAAAAAGGGGATGTCGACAGGAAATGGAGAAACAGACAAAGTGGAAGAATAGAGAACCCAAATATTGTAAAAGCTTCAACTAAAAATCAATTCATCCCAGTGTTTTCGTGAGGTAGTGAGACTGAAATAGGAAGAGGCCCTTTATTTTTTTAGGAAAGGAACACAGACCGGAGGTGGGAGAGGAATGGGAGAGAATTTTCCAAACAAAGAGAGCCTGTGGCCTCTCCAACTGCTCGCACCCCATGCTGGCTGAAGTGTTCACACTGCAGCCCCTGACTTCCTCACAAAGGGTGTGAGCTCCATCCAGAGAGGGAGATTCCAGAGAGAAACCTAGTCTCCATACGCAGCTGAGGGATGGAGATTGAGGCTGCTGAGTTGAGGCTTAGGCCACAGCCTGGGGCTTGGGGGGACAGGAGGTCAGCAAGACTCAGAGAAGAGGGATCTGTGGGTGAGGAGGCCTGGTGCTGTGGAGTAGACTGTCTCCAGGGGAGCCTCCCAAGGCCTTGATCCAGAGGGTCAGAGGGTGATCCTTGGCCCAGAGGGTCCAGAGGGCGCTGGTGCCACAGGCTTCAGAGGCGCAGAATCTAGAAATCTGGGCCTCCCTAGCTTCCTGCTCTGGTCTTCTCCTCTGAACAAGCACATGGTGCCAGAAAGAAGAGATTGATGCCGGGCACAGTGGCTCATGCCTGTAATCCCAGTACTACAGAATTGCCTGAGCCTATGGGTTCAAGACCAACCTGGGCAACTTGGCGAAAAAAGTTGCTGGACATGGTGGTGTGCACCTGTAATTCCAGCTACATGGAAGGTTGAGGCAGAAGGATTGCCTGAGTCCAGCAGGTCGAGGCTGTGGTGGCTATGAGCATGCCACTGCACTCCAGCCTGGGTGACAGAGTAAGACTACAACTCTAAAATAAAATAAAATAAAATAAAAGCAGGTGCAGTGACTCAGCCTGTAATCCCAGCACTTTGGGAGGTCAAGGTGAGTGGATTGCCTGAGCCTGGGGGTTCGAGACCAGCCTGGGCAACTTGGTGAGACCTCGTAATAAATTACAAAAATTAGCCAGGTGTGGTGGTGTGCATCTGTAGTTCCTGCTACTTGGAAGGCTGAGGTGGAAGGATCGCTTAAGTCCAGCAGGTCGAGGCCATGGTGGCTGTGAGTGTGCCGCTGCACTCCAGCCTGGGTGACAGAGTGAGGCGCCAACTCAAAACAAAACAAAACAACAACAACAACAACAAAGAATCACCTGACGTGGTAGTTCATGCCTATAATCCCAGCACTTTGGAAGGCAGAGGTAAAAGGATTGCCTGAGCCCGCGGGTTCAAGACCAGCCTGGGCAACATGGTGAGACCTCATTTCTACAATAAATCAAAAAATTAGCTGGGTGTGGTGATGCACACCTGTGGTTCCAGCTTCTCGGAAGGCTGAGGCAGAAGGATCATCTGAGCCCAGGAGATTGAGGCTGCGGTGGTCGTGAGCAGTGTGCCACTGCACTCCAGTCTGGGCCAGAGAGTAAGGCTCCAACTCAAAAAAACAAAAGAACAAAAAAAAAGGGAGAGATAGAATCATCTCTAAACTCAGATCAGTTCCAGTTCTTCAAACCATCCTAGTTGCTACACTCCAGTCAGATTGGGAAGATACTACAGATATCCCCTTTTCCAAGTATTATAAAAACTGTCCTAACCCTTGACACCTGAGCAACAACTCCTTTCCTCCCCCATGGAAAAAAAAAAAGGCCTCTGCCAGGGGGCAGTGCTCAGGGATTGGGGCAACCTCTCTACCTGCCCTGACAGAGGCCAGAGAGGGTCAGGGCCAGTCAGTGGTTGCAGAGTGCTGGAGGGAGTGTGACCCTCCAACGTCTGGCTAGTGCTGGTTGAGATACTAACCCACCTGGGTTTCAGTTTCCCACTACAAAGTGAGTCTAATGACAGGTCCTGCTTATGATGCATGGAAGGAATCTAGTGCTTCCGGGGGTTTATAGCCACTCAGAAAATGGTAGCAAGGTGAGTGGGAAATACCCTGGTGCATGTATTGCACACAAGGTTATTGAATGCCTCACCCTAACCCTAACATCGCACAAACTAGACTCTCCATCTCCCCAGCAGACGTTTTGGTACAGAATAGACAAAAGAAATAAAGTTACAAAGCATAGTAGAAGGAATGAAGTGCTAGGAAGAACAGAAAGCTAAGAAGGGAGATTAAAATGGAAGAGGGAGCAGTTTGCATTGTTAAATAGGCTTGGGACCATGAAAGAGGCCAAGTGTTTCCAGAAGTACAAAGTGGAGGAGGAGTCTGCATGGGGTTACAAGGTGGGGAATGGGGGAGTGCCATCTGCTGACTGATCCTTCCAGATGCAGGGGTGGGAAGGGTTGGGTGGAAGGAGGTCTCACCAGGGTAGGCCAAGGTGTGGGAAGAAGTCAGGCATTTGTGATTGGATTGATTCCCGATATCTTCTGATTCCCTATGGCTTCTTCAGGCCTGTTCTAAGATTTCTCCAGATTTACAGGAGGATGTGTGTGAGAGAGAGACAGGAAGAGACTCAGAATCAAGATTTTTGGAAGAAACATCAGTAAATGAAAATTGAATTACAATAAAAATAACAAGCCGGGCTCGGTGGCTCAGCCTGTAATCCTGAGCCTTTGGGAGGCTGAGGTGAGTGGATTGCTTGAGCCCGTGGGTTCGAGACC